AGTTGTGCTAGGCTATTAATTGTATTAGCATTATAACCGCAAATTAGAAAAATGCTGCTTTCAAACCACAGGCGCTTAATTTTTAATTACAATATGTTTAAAAAGAGTGAGACGCTAAATGTCTCCCTGCAGCCCGTTAGGTGGCAGTAATAGATTTAATGTTGGTATGCACCGCACAGATGGGAAGACAGAGTTGCAGCTAGAACCAGGATTCTAGTAGAAGTAAGAACTTGGTTGTGCTAGTTGGACTCTAGACAAGCAGGCTTTCAAAGGCATGAAAAAGTGAAATTGTGGAGTAAAACATAAACATTGTTGTATTTAGTCCAAATGATTATCGCAATGAAATTGCAATATTGGTATAAAATAATCACAATTTATATCTTGGATAAAATTCTTCAGCTCTATCATATGTAGTGTAAGATGATCACACTTGTTTCCCCTAAAATAACACTAAGCTTTTAGTAAAGTAGAAGCCGTGATGAAAAGTACTTACTGAAATGTGTTTATGCCAGTGTGAGATGGCATTCCCCAGAGTAAAGCCGATGCCTGATGAGACGGCTTTCAGTGAAGGTCTGCTGAAGAGAAACCAGGACCTCAGCCCCACACCAGCAGAGCAGGTCTGTCCTGTCACTCTACCATTGTTTGTTCCAATCAAATATCCCGCCGTCTTTTAATCAGTTCGGACTCCCTTTCTCTGTCCACTTTAGTCCTCCATCTTGTCTTTAGTCACAAAGATTAATAACGTCATTGACAACCTGATTGTTGCTCCTGGGAACTTTGAAGTGGTAAGTCACAGGTCTAATAATTCAGCAAGTTTAATAAATCCATTTCTGAAACCCTAATCTTATGACGTTAATCTCTCTGCATCACCTAACAGCAAATTGAAGAGGTCCGTCAGGTCGGTTCATACAAGAAGGGCACCATGACAACAGGACATAATGTCGCAGACCTAGTTGTCATCCTGAAGATCCTTCCCACATGTGCGTAAAGGTTACAGTAAAGGAAAAATAATCATCACTGCTGCTCCTCCTCTTCAGTAATTTGGTCTTTTCCTACCTAGTCTTAAAGTTTATTCCTTTTTTTTTTCAAGGTTGGTGTACATATGGTAACATTTGTCTTTCCAGACCTTTTTTATTGTTGCTGATTTTGAAAAAGTATGAAATTTTGAAAAGTGATATGTGGAGCCTTAAAGCTTTGATATCATGACTTAAAGCTAATTGATAATTGAACATTCTGGGTTCAGTCGCTGGGGTGTACAGAGAAATGACAGTGATGTGTTAGTTCAGTATGTTTAAAGTTGACAATATTTTAGTAATTCATATATCTTAAAATAATGAGTCAGTAAACTTATCATTAAAAAAGTTGAGAAAATGTGCATATATTTATTGCACCTTTTAGTACCACCGGTTTTGACTGTCATTTAGGCCCAGTTGGAGTCAGTGGTGGTACCGTCCAAACTGGTCCGTCTCTGTAAAATCAGTATGGAGTTAAATTGGAAGTTAAAGCTCCTCCTATTTGATGACTCTGTCCAAAGTGAGGGTTGTGAAACCTCTGTGGTGATCTCCCTCTGCTTTCTGCAGA